ACAGAAGCTGCTTATAAGCACTCCCTTCGATTCCAGTGTGTCTAACGCCTCCCCAAATGCACCTCCGACGACAGACCATTTTCCGCGATTTTCCCAACGTTTCACTCCATGTTTCCATGGTTTTACATGATTGTTCCATGGTTTTACTCGATTCTTCCATGGTTTTATTCAATTTTTCCGTGGTTTTACTCGATTTTTCCATGGTTTTGCTCAATTTTCTCGGGTTTTACTCGACTTTTCCACGGTTTTTATTCCATTGTCCCATAGTTTTACTCCATTTTTCCATGGTTTATCCAATTTTCAGATGGTTTTGCTCGATTTTCCCCATTGTTTTTCCATGGTTTTACTCGACTTCTCCACAATTTTACCCTTCCATTCCAGTCTCCCCAAATGCACCTCGGAGGACGGACCAGCGGGGAGTCGATACCCCACCGTCACCCAATTGCCACCTGGCACATAACCCGCAAAAAAGTTCCAATTGTCATGCCTCCACTGCACCTAATTCCGTGATTTTGCGTTGTCCTCGCCCGCTCTACCCCCAGACCCCCTATAACTCACTTTGTTCGCAAAAGGAACTTCGCCTAGCCTAGCGGCTGGCTTTCGTGAAAAGAAATGCAAAACACATTATTCAATTTCAATTTTGTTATTGTTGTTTGCTTTTCCCTTCCCATGATGTCGGATGTCCTGCGCCTTGCAGCAGTCCTCTCTTGAAACTTGGGGCAATCCACGTGTCTCCTCATCGACACATACATCAACATTTCAAATGACCTTGAAGCCAAGAAATACATCAACATACCAAGTGCATTGGCTTACCCCCCGAAATTTATAGCCCCCGAATCAACATTGTGGGGTGAGGGGTAAGAGGTGTGGTGGGGGGGGCATCTATAAATTTCATTGAGTGAATCACCTCACTCGACCCACCCATCCCTCCCTGAGCCATCATGGCCGTTCGCATGCTCACTCGGTTCATCACAAACAAAGACGGCTGACACTCTGTGACAACCTAGTCTTGTTTGCTTTTCCCTTCCCATGATGTCGGATGTCCTGCGCCTTGCAGCAGTCCTCTTTTGAAACTTGGGCCAATCCACGTGTCTCCTCATCGACACATACATCAACATTTCAAATGACCATACCAAGTGCATTGGCTACCCCCTTCTTGGACATTCACGACAGAAACGATGAGAGTGAGGGAGGCGGAACATTGAGATTTGTTCTCGGAAGCCAAGGTCCTGGCTTCATGCCAGTCAATTGGCAACCTCTCAAAACCTCTTTGGAGGAGATGTTCAGTTACCAGTCGAGAGGGCTCATCAGAAGAGTTACTATGAGAAGGCACTCTGGCTATCCATGTGTACATGCCACTGTGCTGAATTAATCGACCAAGGTTTCTGAGCAAACATCGGTGTCTTTCGACACCGGTCTTCAGGGAAATTAACGATGCTCGGGCGGCCTCATTGTCAATGAAAAGCATTACTCTAACATGTTGGAAAAAACACTCAAAATCTGTACAGCATACACCGCAGCAAAAAGTTCTAAAGTGGAAATTATCTTGCAAGTGTCAGTTTGGCACGTTCGCATGAGATCATCTGGTACAGAGTCCGAAAAGAAGAAACGTTTTGAGGACACGTTCCCTTCTACAAAGTATGCTACCATTCCCAGGCTGCCATGCATGTCATAGTTCTCCAACGCTGCATCAGTGAAAATGTACAACCTCCGTTCCGACATTCCAGAAAGCAGTTTACGAGGCTGGGAGAAACGAAGGAAATCTTTAATCCAGGCAATTTCGCACAACAACTCCGACGAAACATCAGTGCCAGAAAGTTTGCCATTGGCTCTCAAACCGAACTCCTTCAAGTGGGCCGCAAGAACTCTACCAAAGGTGTGGGTTTCTGCAAATTGAAGTTTTCCCCGGAGCGACGAAGCCTTTGCAGCAGACAGAAATCTCGTGGCCTCGACTTCATCAAGCTCCGCACATAGTTGCTCAACCCTTGAAGTCTTGTTTTTCACCTGTACTACACCTTCTTGTGAACTGGTAAAATCAAAAGTGACACCCAGTGCATCAAACTGTTTCGCTATGGGAAGCCTCTTGGATTCTTTCATGGACACACGCCACCCAATGAGTTCGAAGAAACGCTCTGCGGTGCACTGCGCGTCACCATTGGATGCTACAATGTCCACCTGAGGGAAGTCATCATAGTAATTCCCCCAAACCAGTCCCAGTAGTCCAACCCCTATGGTATGGCATGCACGAGCTAATCGATTGAAGGCATAGACGCTTGCAGACGCTCCAAATGGCAGAACGTGTGAAATGAACAACTGCTTTGCTCTACACATGTTTTCAACAGCAAGCACTGAGCACCACAGCGAGGACTTCGCAGTGAGCAACTGTTTGTATGCAGCATCAAGGTCCAAAGTACGACCACATAAATTCATAGCATCAGAAAACTTGTAAAGAGTGATGTAGCAAACCTTTCAGAAACTTACCATCACTGAGCTTGAAGCAAATACGGCGATCTGCTCCAATTCCTTCCAGCCAAGTACGCGCTGTAGTGGACACACCGTCGATGCCCGGCAGGTCCAGTTTATACTGGCTACCATATGCAGAGTTCACAAGGCTCTCCGTCATGTCATCAATGGCACGCACTTTGTCCGGCTGTTCCAGACCGAACCGCCTGGATACCACAAACATAGGTCCCAGCTTGTTAATCAGCTCAGTTTCCGTGTAGGGTCCTGAAAGCCATCCACGACTAGCCTCTTCGCACGCACCATCCCAGACTGATTTAATGACTTTGTCACTCACCTCACCTGAAGACTTTCCAAGAATCTTCTTCCTAGTCCAGGTAGCAGACTTCATCAACTGGACATTGCTGATGGAGGGTTCACGAACATCAGGCTCAAACTGCGCGGTGCTTCCACCCGATCCTGTGAGTTTGACACCATTGGCCAACAAATCGCGAAGGCCATCATCTTCCACTCCTGCATCCCGGCACATTTGTTTGAACAGCAGTATTTTCTTATCCCTTGTAATGGCTTCTCTTTCCGGATCCAGTTGGTGGTGAATTGTCTGCTCGGCCGCTTCCAAATCATTCGCTGTTGTGAAACTTCTACAGGACCTGAAGTAAGAAACCAGAAAATCGCTCGCTTGATGTCATCTGGAACTGAACTGCAATCATCAAAGGGGTGATGTAGCTTTAGTGCTTCCTCTGTGAACTGGTCTGGTGTGCGAGAAACTCCAAGCTCAGCAAAATAGGGTAATTCATCTGTCGCGGACTCACCCTTCTTGAATGACAGCAATTTGGTTGCAAAAGGCAAAGAAAAATGGGCAAGTTCAGAAGTGGACAACATACGAGGGGCTTGCCGCGGCCATTCCAAGGGCCACTGCACTTGCAGGATCTTTGCGAACTCAGGGATCAACTGAGGAAGTAGGTTACCCCTGGGTTGTCGGCCACCTTGCACTGCACGCAGTTTCACCGAAGGCGTTCTTTCAGAGGACGGCTGGTGGGCTGTGACCATCATGTTGTATTCCTGGGCAGCACGTGTAATGATTTCTGATTTTTTTTGCATCATAGTTCTGCTGGATATTCCGCCTCCTCTGCAGTATTGAAACGCCATCCTTCTGATCGACGGTCGACACCCCACGGCAAATGAGCATGGCTGTTGTCACATACTAATGAAAGCGAACTGAAGCCACTGTGGTTTGTGTAAAACGTAGTCCACTTGTCTCGCATTGATCCATGCATACAGGCTTGAAATGAAATTGGGAAGAGCTTTTTGCGTTTGATCAACTTTCGAAACCAGGACGTAGACCACATGTGAGAACGTGTCGGGTTCTCAACCGAAATGATACATTCATCAGGCAGCAGTGAAAGAATTTTGCAAATATTGTCATACACATTGTTGGCAAGTTGTACCCGTTGTTGATTAACACCAGTTAAAGATGGAAGGCCGTCTGGAAACTTAGTCGATCTCAATGGCTTGGGATCTGGGACACCACGCCGACGAAGTCTAAGTGGAATCCTGCGCTCCCTGGCTCTGGAGCAAGTGCCAAATGGAGGAGCCACATGCACAAAGAAAATGGCATCATGTGAAGCCACCAAGGATTGAAATTGCTCAACACAATCTGGCAAAGCTAAATCCAGTTGAACAATTGAGTGCTCCTGTTTGTGACGATTCTTCGAGTGGTCAACTGCAAGAACACTGAAACCAGCTTTGTGGAGATGTTTGGACAATCGTGCGCACCCCGCACAAAGTTCGACACAAAGTACCTTAGTGCTAGGACAGCCTTGCAACTCCACATGTTTGCGCTTAACTCCCCGCTGGTCAGAGGGAGTTGCGCGAGGGCATCACTGGTGCTCAAATTGTGGATGCGGCTTGCCACATCCCCAGCGCATGCAGCAATGCCAGCCTTTGGGGCAGCGCTCACCCGGCTTCGCCCTGCTGCACCCCTTGATGTTGTAATCGTAGCAGTGAGGTTCTCCTTGAGGATTGGTAGGAGCCATGCCAATCAGTTGAGGCGGCATACGAATCAAATTGGTTTTGCCTCCTTTGCCACGACCTTTGCGTCCTTTGACAGGCGCACTGGGGTTGGCACGCATGTTCTTGATCTGACCTTGCAAATTCTCAACGGTTTTCTGGAGTTTGCTGACATCCGGAGAAGGTTTGGGCTTCTTGTCATCTTCGGCAGGCTCGAGCTTGCGCTTGTTTGTGCCTTGCAAAGGTTGGAGGCACAGACGAACTTCTGCAGAATCCATGGCCTTGAGAAGCGCTTGCTCCACTGGTCGAATGCCCACAAGAGGTTTGATGCCGCTCCGAGTCTCGCGCATCATAGCTTTGAACAGTTGCAAATCAGCACGATGCAACTGCTCCACAGAGACGCGAAGGTAACCTTCTGGAGGTACAGTGCCATAGGCCTCCATCATAGTCTGGGTCCACTTCTCGAAGGCGTTGTAGTCCACCAAACGGGCCTGGTCAAAGGCCAACGAGCGCCTTGGCAGCGCCAGCCGCAACTTCAAATCTGTGTCGGTGTTTGCTTTCAAAGCTTCGGACACCTTCGTTTCTCGGATCAGACCTGAGCTATCCGGTTTCCAAACCGGGTCTGACTTGATGCCCATCAGTTCCTGATCTCGTTTTGTACATTCCTCCCAACGAACATAGCGCAATTGATCTTCTTAGCTCATGTTGTACACAAGGTCAATCAATGCATTCGAGGGCTCCAAGTCACCGGTCATGTCGATACCACTGAGGCGCTTCTTCTGGTCCTCGTATCGAGAGCTCCTTTCAGCATTGGCTAAAAGCCGAGGCACGGCATCGTCCTTTCGTTCCAGCCTCATCTGCATGTCTGCTGCTGCCAGAGTGTAGCTTTCAAAGAAAAGCCGCCTGACAATCGGCAACCTGGCCGCTGGAGGTGGATCCTGACCTGTGACCTCGGCCGCAAGATGCTTGAGCAAGGTGTCGTCCTGTTGGCCCGGTGTATAGCTTGTAGCGAAAGCCAGCTTACCGAAGGTATCATACCCCAAAGCCTGCAAGTTCTGAAGCTCTTGCTGATTGGCTCCCAATTTGGCAGCCCTGTCCAGGAAGTCAGCGGTGGAGTCCAGCATGGTGCAGGCGGGTACGAGTAACTGCTGGGCCAAGTCTGCATGAATGTGTCCATCAAAGCTTTTTTTTCAAATGCGCACAGCAAAACCTATTGAACGAAATGGATTCGTGACCAGACCTTTTTACCCAACAGTAAAGAGAAAACCTCAACAACATGACATACATGAAAGCGGCAAAAAAATTGGCAAAAGGACAAAACTTACCAGAAAAATAAAGGTTGAGATTCTTCATGTGAAATTCATCAACATACAGCAGCATGACATGGTTGGCAGCAGGACATCAACATGGCAACTCACCCCTCCCCGGCTGCAACAAACGGTTGCTCCTTGGCCACATCGGCTTCTGCACGCGACATCCGCGGCGATGGCACAGCCTAACATTGTGAGAAACCCACACACCGTTGCAAACAGAGGTGTTCAGTGGCCCTGTGACTCACACATCAGAAATTGAACGGCCAGTTGCCAAGGTTAGGGAGGAGTTGCACATTACTCATGCGAGCACGGCAAAAGATTTTTTCCTGCTTGCTGGCCAACTGCCCCCATGAAGGTATTTATTTCTACATGCTGCCAAAGCAATTGCGGCAGTGGGGCCATGCTTTCTCAATATCCCCGAAGAACCTAAAATAGGTGCTACCGAGGGCGCGGCCACATGCCGTCTTAGGCTCAAAGCTGTCATGCCCATAGTGTATCATCTTGGTGCGCTTATGCCTGTACACCATCTCCGTCACGGCACTCTTAGACACTGGTCTGAAGGTGGCAAACTCCGAATCGCGCACCACACTTGCCAGTGCACTTTCTGCAGACGAAGAACATGAATCAGAACAATTGGATTCATCACCTGAGCCATCCGTCGCCGGGTCATCTTTGACACGATCTGCATCTTCATATCCAAAGTATGAGACTACTTCTGTGGGAGAATCAACCTGCTCCACCACTGGTACTTCTTGCATGAAAGGTTGACCCATCATCTCCCACAACGCTCGCAGCTCCGGATGCGCATCGCCTTCATGAAGGGAGGTGGCTGGAAAACCAAGGAACTTCTCACACAGTTCCTGCAACTCCATGCCCATTGTCTGAACCATTTGTTCCAAGACACCTTTAGGCTTGGTGTCTCTGCAGAATACTTCATCACGTGGTGCCAGGGGTACGAACTTTCCTTCTTGCACCTCTTTCAGCATGCCACACATAGTTCTTAAAGGAGCGGACAAAGCACTGCGTTGGTAGTTGATTGCACTGCGATGTTGAGTCAAATGATAACCCAGCAGTTCAGTGTGCGTGTAATCAACTCCATATGTGCCCATGTAGGTAAGCCAGTTGTCTTCAGACTGTGGCTTGTGATCTTGTTCACGGTTTCGGCGGGAAAGGATTTGCCTAGGAGCATCTTCAGCTTCGCAGTGACTTCTGAGGTGCTCACTCTTTCCTGATTTGTGGGCTCGCAGGTTTGTTCTGAAGGCATTACCATGAAGGTTCGGTCATCAATAATTGTAGATTCCAGTGAATGGAACTTGGGAAGGCCGAGACATTCACGGTTGTAAGTGAATGCGCTGAACCAGTTCAACCCCAGCATGCCTTTGCAAGGTACAACGCAAGGAAGAAAAGTTGATTGCTTCTCTTTTGTTCTCGCGGTCTTGACCCTCATGAGCGAACCTTCAACGAAGTCGCCCTTCACCGAAAGGTTGACAATGCGATGCATGTCAGACACTCGCAAACGCCCGTAGATGCACATCAAACAAAATCCAGCCATGCAGCGAAGGTACAAGTTGCGCTCACAGAATGACATGAGTTTCAAAATTGCCAGCACTACTGGATCAAGGGCAGGAGCTTGTTTCAATGGTCGCTTGGTCAGATACATGGCCAACGCAGCACCAGCAATCCGTGGAGACTCCATGCACTCTGAGGCGCCAGACATTCCCAACAGAGCTTTCACAAAGGCTAATGTACTCAGAAAGGTGGTGCCTCTGGTGGCCGAACACGCCGCTGTTCGAAGGCTACACATATAATCATATATGGCTTCTTCTGAAAATGGGAGAAAATCCTCAAAAGGTGAATGCATCCTCAACCAGCGTACTGTACATACAGCAGAAGAGAAGAAACACGAAGATTAAGAGTACCGGTAGCTTTTCCCATCAAAGTGTCAGCCAGGATTTGCAAGTGTGTACCTTTTTCTGCATTCTCAACATCGGCTGCCATAATTTGCTTTCCAACTCTGGATTCTTCAGGTGCAAGCAAAACCACTTCCAACTATTTGAGAATCCAGCAGTTTCATGACTTGCATCTCGAATGATGAGCTTCTTAGCCTGAACGGTTATGGTAGACTTAACAGTACCACTTACAGACACAGCCGGAAAGGATCTTGGGATTTTCAAAGGATGCAGCCACGGAAGCTTATCACAGCTGAAAACACTTCGAAGCAAAGGAGTAGACTGCCATGGCATCACTGGCTGTTGGACATGAACACCCATGGATGTCGCAGCTAATAGCGCTGCCTCAACATCAACATGTTGAGATGAAGGGGGAGCTGTGCCAACATTAACATTCACATTTACATCCAATCCCCTCTTCATCTATAAATTTCATTGAGTGAATCACCTCACTCGACCCACCCATCCCTCCCTGAGCCATCATGGCCGTTCGCATGCTCACTCATCGGTTCATCACAAACAAAGACGGCTGACACTCTGTGACAACCTAGTCTTAAATATCATGTTTTATCTACCCGTGCGTGATTAAGGCAGTGATTTGATCCATTTCTAGCTCAACCTGTTCCTCAGGTAGCAATTTGGGATCCGTTTTTTGGAAAATGTCAAGCCATTCAAAGTTGATGGCATCACAAATATTTCAACGCATTGGTGCGTGTAACATCGTGTAACAGCGTCTGGAATTCATTGGAACGGAGAGCTTTGACTTTTGAGGTGTGCATGGTCCATGTGTATGGTGCAAATAGGGAGCGGTTGTATCTTTTGGATGCTGCCTTACTTGGATTTGACGAGCGTGCAACAGCGTGAATGGAGACCCAATGTCTGTCAATTTTGCCTCATTTTCCCCAACATCACCTACAGTATGGCCCAAGTTTTTTCCGCAATTCTACGCAATGTTGCTCTATTTTCTTTAAAATTACCCTACAGTTTCTCAATGTTCCCCATTTTTCCTCAAAATCACCATAGGTTTGCTCAAATTCCCCCAGGAATGTCAATTGAAAATGGAGCTTACAAAAATGAAACCAAGTTTGCCCAATTGTGTCAAAATCTTGTAAAAATGAAGAAATTATAACTAAAAAACAGTAAGGGAAAGTGTCTTCAAGCATAGGTGGGTGCTGAAACAGTGTGCACGCTTCACGATCAAGCATGTACTTCTGACCCCGTATTGACAAATTTGTTCTTGCGTTAGATGCACGCGTGGCTCAAAGTTTCAATTCTACCTTTTGCAATCTTTCCCAGTTGTCTTCGGAATTTTCCTGCTTGTGGCCTGCGAAGTCGCTGCAAAACACTTAGTCAATGAGCCTTTGTCTCTTGTGCGTTGCTCAGGTGCCAGCACCAATTGGCAATTCATCTCAAGTGGTAATTTCTTTGCGCATCATTAGGTCGTGATTTGGCAAACAAAATACGGCATATGACTATGACTATGTATGTATGCATTTAACCTGCTCTTTGGTTTGGTGTTCCTTTGCATTTTGCCAATGATCAGGTAGAAATTTGGCACTGTTTGATTTGGCGGTGTTTTTTTTGGGGGGGCAAAAACACTTTAGGGGAGGTGATTCTCATCATGTCGTTTAACGTTGTCAAACAAACACGCTTGTTGTTTACAAACTGTAACCACCAACTAAAAGGAAACCTTTTAAAAAAAACTACAGATCTAGACCCTATACAGATAATCCGATCTCCAAAACGAGGTTCCTAAATCAGCTACCTGTAAATTCAAACTGGATTCCGGACGGAGCATGAACTCCTTCCAGTCAGCTTTCAGAGCGTGTTTCTGCACGCTGTCAAGCATCCTAGGCAATGAATTTCTACTCCTGTCTGAGTCGACCATGCTACGAAAATTGAGGAATGAGCTTCACTCGTGTTAAAAGTGCGGGGAGTCAGCTGAGCCCTGTGCATGCTCAAGAACTCACTTACCAAGACTTGCGCCTGGTGTTTGGTGTGGATGATGACTGGACAAGTTCTGAAGAAGGGTGGGATTCTGGCTGCTGGAGGCAGCGCCCGTCTGACCCTGACATGCTTCCCCGTCCTGGTTTTCTGGTTCTGCCGCATCCTGTGGGGCAGGGCCGGCACCCTCCGCTAGCTGAAGGAGTTGGAACATGTTTTGTTGGAATCCTCGGTCGAAGAGACGCTCAATGTTTGCTATTGTCATTTCCTCACCTATACGCGGAAGGCGCGCAATGTTTCTGTACATTTCCTCCTTCTTCCTCTCCTTCTCCTGCTCCTCTTCATACTCCTCATCTCGGCCTACAAAGCGATGGTGAGCAATGCCAAGCAAGCTGCACAAACCGCAAACGCCTGCCACCACGGAAGGGCCGGGGAACGTATACCATGGCACGCCCAACTTCGTGCTGTCACACGTAGTAGAATTTGAACGGCAGTCATGTCCGATCGCCTCTGACCAGAAGACTGGAGTTTCATTGGGAGCAAGTCGGAAGCTTTCGAGAGTTCGGTAAGCTCGCTTGGATACGACAACCCCGGTAGGAATGTAAAACTCGACCGTTGGTTCTTTGTAATAGCCACAAAGCTCACCGCGGCTTCGAAAAGTGTTCCAAGCCTCATCATCCAAAAGTGCAGCTTTGCATGTTTCGTTCTTCAAGTTGTCCAAGACCTCTTCCCACTTATCCATGTAATTTGCCGAGATGTATGCATTCCCATTCAGGTGAAGCGTCAGAGATTCGTTGTAAACTGAGTGGGTGCACAAACTGACACTATTTGGTCCTTTCTTTGCATCCTTCAAACTTGGAACCTCTCCTTTTACCTCGTTTGCTAAGACCATGTCTGCAGTGATTTTGGCAAAATACATTGCCATGCTCAGCAAAATGAAGAAGCCCAGGCCCAAACGTAGCATGTGGGATGGACGAGAGCGGCTTGGTTTTTTCGAGTCCCTCCTGTGGCTGGTTTTCGACTTGTGGACAAAGGCCTCAAACACACCAAGAAGGGCATCAGCGAGTCCGTGTGTAAAACAGCAAAAGCACTTGCAGAACTTCTCCATGCGTCGTTGCGCTTCCTCTTGGGGCTTTTCGGGCTCCTCGGGTGGCCCTTCGGGCTCTCCCTGCTCTTCAGGCTCTTCTCCGGATTGTTTGTCAAGATTGTCAAGGCAGTCAAGGCATTTGTCAAGGCCTTTCATGGCGAGAATGAAGAAGAATACCACTCCCACGAAGAAACCCCAAGCTCCAGGACTGAAGACATCAACCCACCAGAACCAGAATTTCCAAGATCTCCAGTCTTCTGACGCAAAGAAAACACGACATGTGCTTTTGGATACCATGAAGACTGGAGAGGTGTACAACTCGATGACATAGGTCATTGCTTGCCTCCGATGGGTCAAGCTGAATGCCCCAGAGCACAAGTCCACATAACCCATTCCTGTTGCGAAGGCACACAAATCAAAGTTGGTGGTAGGCCTTTCAGACCAGTGGAGCGGAACTCTGTCCTTGTAGTCTTCAAATTGGTTGGTGATGTTGGGGTCCATGAAATAATGGCGGATGTCCTCCTCCTCCTCATCCCTTTCGATCACTGTATGGTCAATTTTGGGCAGGTTGAGCTTATCCAGTGACCTTTCCCAAAACTCTGCTACGCGACCTTTGCAATGCCGGTTTTGCGAGTATTTATAGACTTTCTTGCAACCGGTATTTCCCAAGTAGCCCCCTTCCAAAGTGCTCTCTGCGTGGAAGACCCGGAGAGGATCATCCTGCAGAAACGCGGCCAGCGTCTTTTGGAAGTACTTGTCACTCCCCTGTCGCAGGTTCCCACAGGTGGCATAGGAATAGGGGCCCAACACACCCCAGTCCCAGTCCACAATGCAATTTGAGTCGTTGACATAGCACCACGACGTGTTGCACCAAGGTGATTCTCCTGAATGGGATGGACCGCATTGGAGCTGTTTTCCAACATCGATGCTCTGGTACAAAGAAGCTGCACAGTCCTTGCTTATGTTGTGGGTCTTGCAGCCAATACCAAAGTCGTCAGGACATAATACGTAGCTCGCCAGTGTTCCCTCGACACACTCCGGGCGGTCGTCTTTGCCTATGCATGGGCAAAAGCTGCTGCCGTCGTGTGAGGATCCAAGAGAAGCCGGACGAAGTGCCAGCAAGGGCGCCAAGGCCGCAAAAACCACGAAGAATCTCATGGCTTCGACTGATGCTGCTTCCAAGTTCTCAGCGCTCTCCGCTTAAACTTAAGCCATTCATGTCGCGGGTTTGAGAAATTGACCCACGTCCACGTCAGGATAATTCAGAAGAATCCGATAAAATTCAGTGCGACCAAACATCAGACTGCCGATTGCCAGAGTGAACAAGAGCCAATGGATTGATTTCAGGGAAAATCTACAGGATAACCATGGTCTTTACAATATTTTACCACCAAATTGGGGGTGAAACATGGTGGAACATGGTGAAACCTGTAAATTTTCCCCAAAACCAAGTCTCGCCAAGTCGACAGAAGGATTCTCCGACCGTTTTTGCAACGCCGCCGTGGTGTCCATCGCTTGACCAGGTGAGCGATAGCAGGTGATCAGTTTCAATGGTACAGTTTCAACATCCCAACAAAAAATACATTTAAAAAATGGAAATGCTAAATTTGGCTAACATGAAAAGATGAACATGAATAGTTTGGAGTATGCAAAAAAATGACAAATATCTTGAAGATTCATGAAATTTGGACCTAAATTTGGATAGGCTCAACTTCCAACAATGCAACCAACAATTTC